CACCAGCAGCCAGGAAATCAAAAAACGTATTGCAATGGGAAAGTCTGCTGTTAGGGACCTCTCCAAAGTACTGAAGAGCAATGGTGTCTCTCTGGAGACTAAGGTGCGTCTGATATAGGCTGTGGTCTTTGCAATCACTTGTTACACATCAGAGAGTTGGAGAATGACTAGGGAGGGTAGAAGGAGAATTGATGCCTTTGAGTTGTGGTGCTGGAGAAGAGTAGTGAATATCCTAGGGACTGCCAAGAAAACAGATTCATCCTTGGAGAGGGTTAAACCAGGCTGCTCCTTGGAGGTAAGGATTCTGGGGCTTCGTCTGATATACTTTGGACGTGTTGTAAGGAGGGAGAGTTCCTTGGAGAGGGACATCATGCTTGGGAGAGTCGAGGGACGGCGCAGGAGGGGAAGACCCTCTATGAGGTGGATTGATTTAGTGACTGGGGTAATCGGGATGGGTGTGTCAGAGGCAGTGCGATTGGCACAGGACAGAGCAGGGTTTAGGGCTGTTGTACATAGGGTCGCTATGAGTCGCAAGTGACCCGATGGCACGTAACAACAACTTACCTAGTAGTGGGATTCCTAGGGAGTTCTGGTGGCCAAGGAGCTGCATTTCAATATCCCAAGGGCACACAGTTTGAATCCACCAGCTGCTCCATGGAGAAGGATGGGAATCTCAATTTACTATCTCTGAAAATCTGCTAGAGGGTCTGCTATGAGGAGGTTTCAACTCAGAGGCACACAACAGTAACAATGGCAGGATTGCTGGATCAGAGATATTTTTGTTCCCTACTTTTTAAGGAAGCAACAAACTGTTTCCCACAGTGGTTGCATCATTTTACATTCCCATCCGCACTGTGTGAGAATCCAATTGTGTCATTGAATATTGCTGGTTTGGGCAGGGTTAGGTGTATTTCATTGTTGTTTTGATTTGCATCTCTCTAATAGCTAATGTTGTCATTGTTGTTGTGTACTGGGGTTCAGAGGTAAGTCACATGACAGGAGACTGCCCATCTATCTCTCACAGAGCAGTCAGTGGATTCAGGTCACATATCTTTGGGTTGGCAATGGCCCAGTGGAAAGAAGCTGTGATGTATTCCCAAAGGCATGTGGTTCAAATCCACTAGCTGGTCTGAAGGAGAAAGATGAGCAGCCTCCTCCTGTACAATTTACTGCCTCTTGAAACTCACTGGAGGGTCAGCTATGGTTCCGGTCCCACTCCATGTCATGTAACAACAATGAGAGAGCTCTAGTGGCCTTGTGGGTAAGGAGTTGCAATGCTAACCCAAAGGCTGGTGGCTTGAATCCACCAGCTACTCCAATGGAGACAGATGGGAAGTCTCCTCTTGTGTTATTAACAGCTTCTGAAAACTCACTGAAGAGTCAGCTATGAGTCAGTTACAACTCAATGGTTCTACTAGCCTAGTGTTAAGAAGCTATGTTGAAATCCTGAAGGCATGCAGTTCAAATCCACCAGCTGTTCTGTGGGAGAAAGATGGGCAATCTCCTCCTATGCAATTAACTACCTCTGGATCAGCTATGGGTCAATTCCAACTCTATGGTACACAACAACAACAACAACAATGCCATTGATTAGGGCTCCTAAATTTGCCCCAGTGTTTTATTTTATAATCTTTAGAGTTAGTTTCAGATTTCCTACCCAGCTCCTTGATCAATCTTGAGTTAGTTTTTGCATATGGTGTGAGATATATGAGTCATGTTTGAATTTTCTGCAAATAGATACTCAGTTTTGCCAGCACCATTTGTTAAAGAGGCTGTCCTTCCCCTACTTAATGGATCTCATCTCTTTATTAAAAACAAGTTGTCCATAGGTGGCTAGATTTATTTCTCAGATCTCAATTCTCTTTTACGGTACTATGTACCTGCCTATGTACCAGTACCTACTGTTTCAGGATGTTGTTGATGTTGTTGTTGTTGTTATGTGCCATCAAGTTGCTTGTGACTCATAACAACCCTATGTACAATAGCTCTGAACCCTGCTCTATATTGAGCCAATGTTATTGTCTCCAACACAAGTACCCCCATTTCCCCAGTCACTGAGTCAATCCATCTCATCCAGAGTCTTCATCCGTTGCACTGTCTCTCCACCCTTCCAACTATGATATCCCTCTCCAAGGACTGGTACCTCCTTGCAATATGCTCAATGTATGTCAGATGGAGTTTCAAAACCCTTGTCTCCAAGGAGCAGCCTGGTTTCACCCTCTCTCAGGACAAACTTATTTGTTCTCATAGGAATCCATGGTATATTCAATACTCTTCTCCAAAACCACAATTCAAAGGCATCAGTTCTTTTTCTATCACCCTGTTAAACATTGTCCACCTTCCTGATGCATAACAAGTAATTGCAAAGACCATGGTTTGGGTTGGACGCACCTTACCCTCCAGACTGGCATCATTGCTCTTCAGTACCCTGGAGGGGTCCCTGACAGCCTGTTTTTCCCAGTACAATTCATCTTTTGAGTTCCTGGCTGCTGGTACCAAGAGTGTTGATTGTGGAGCCAAGCAAACTAAAGCTGTTAACAATCTCAATCTCTTCACCATCTATCATGATGCTGCCAACTGGCCCAGTGGTGAGAATCTTTGTTTTCTTGATGTTAAGCTTCAAGCTTCCTATTTTACCACTCGAGCTCACTTCTTCATTATCATCTTGCTTATCTGGACTCTCTCTTTTCCACATAAACTTGATTACTTTTTTCTCTTTGAAAAATGATGGTGGTATCTGGATCAGGAATGCATTATATCTGTAGATTGCTTTTGATAGTATTGTCATTTTTACACTTTAAGTCTTATCCATGAGCATGATGAATTTTTCCATTTATGTCGGTCTCCTGGGGTTTCTTGTAGTGGTGTTTTATCATTTTCTTTGTACAGGCCCTTTGTATCGGCAGTTAGGTTTATTCCTAACTATTTCATCTTTGGGTGGTTATTGTAAATGCTGCTGTTTTCCTTATTTCCTTCTCAGATTTCTTTTTTCTTACTGTAGAAGATTCTGGCTGATTTTAGTACGTTAATCTTCTACCCCGTCACACTGCTGAATCGGTCAATTAGATCCAGTCATTTTCCTGCTGAGTCTTTGGGATTGTCTATATATAGGATCACAACATCTGCAAACAGAGATGGTTTTACTTCCAGTTTGTGTAGAGCAGTTGAGGGCAGCCCGGGCCAGGGCGGACTGCAGTCTTTGGCCTGTCAGGTGGAGCAGGAGCTGGTCTTTAGCGTTGCCTGAAGAATAAAGCTGCAGGAGTTTTATGAGTGGTTGGGTATCGTGGCTGTCTGTCTTCAGATGAGACAAACAAAAAGGGAAACAAAACGTAACAGAAAGTGCCCAAAAAAGCAAAAAGGAGAGTGGACTATAAAAGGAAATGCTGTTAAGTACCGCCGGGTTGGACCGTCTCATAGCTGGCCCTCTAGTGGGTTTTCAGAGGTAGTAAATCACACGGGGATTGATTTCCCATCTTTGTTCCCATGGAGCAGCTGTCGATTCGAACTGTGTACCTTTGAGTTGACAGTGCAACTTCATACCACTAAGCCACCAGAGCTCGCCTTTTTAGAAAACCAAAACTGAGGGGGTTCAAAAAGAAAGGAGAATCAGAATAAAATGACAAAAATGAGGAAGAGAGTGTGAGAGAAGACAGGCAAGGAAAAGGAGGAAAGCTAGCAAGAAGAGAACGTGGGAGATGCGGGGGAAGATACAGGCAAAATAGAAAAGAAACAAGCAAACCATAAGCTATAAGAAATAAAAGATGAAAGAGGAAAAAAGGATGTGTGATGGATGGACTGGATTCTTGGCCTGCCCTCTTGTCACTGCTGTGGTCAGTGGAGGCAAGATGTCTGACCTAGGACCATGTGTCTGCTGGTCCGGCTTGGGGATGGAGTTGCTCAGTCACATCGGAGTTTCTGCTCATCTCAGAGGTAGTTGACACCCCAAGATGAGAGTTTGGCCATAGGTAGCACCTCTTCTGGTCTACTGGGTGTCAAGGAGTGGGGTCCTCAAGCTGGGACAGAGTTTCTCCTGATTTCACAGGAATTAGGGTAGTCTGCTTGGTTAAGGATCGTGTATGTGCCAGTCCACGGGATGGGCGTAGGCAGGGAATCAGTCACGAGAGATAGGTAATGTGAAGAAATAATCACTGGTAAACTGAAATGCCCAAGGATGGCACACTCCACAGAGAGTACACCACTCCAAACATGGTCAAAGTGGCTGGCGAGGTATCCACAAGGAAGCCCAGTGAGAAGGGCACTCGTCAGAGGTGGTGGCTCCAGGCGCTGGCTGCAGGCCAGGCGTGGCATACATAGCCTGCCGGCTCCCAGAGGGTGTGCCTCTGCGTACACAGCAATGCACATGCTCCTGGTGCCCAGGCCTGACCTCCAGTGGCACTGGGATGAGCCTGCCGGGTGGAGGTTTGGGGTTGAAAATCGCTCTCTTGATCTTCAAGAGTGTTCCAGGGACAAGAAGAGGGGATCACACCCTTCTCATCATTAACCACTGGAATGCACACTGCCTCAGTCCCAATGCCGGACAGTCAGCTGTTCAAAATGGCCAGCCTGTGCTATGTATGGTTCCGTGTTGGTCTCTTTCCTTATTCAAAGTTTTCACTCTTCCTTGTCTTTTCTTTTTAAACTTGGGGTTCCAGAATTACCTGTATCTGTTTTCTGGAGGGGATCTGGACAACTACCTCTCTCATCTGCCATCTTGCCCAGAAATCTCTGTTAATCTCATTTTAGAGACTCAGAGGAGGGGCTCCATAATTTCTCCAAAGGGGTGAGATTTGCCCCTGGATCCATGCCACCCTACAGACTGACCCCTAAGCACCACCCCGACCGCCTTCTTGGTAGATGCTCACTGAGATCCCCCCACATAACATTATACCGTCTTTCTCTTGATCCAGGTCCCAAGCAGCATCAGGGACCTGCCAGTCTGAGCAGCCTTCTGTCTCGAGGTCACGAGGGGTCCAGCTGCCCCTGCATTGCCAGTCTCCACCATGCAGGACAATCAGCCGGTGCCAGACGCTGACAAAGTCACAGACACAACCCAGGAAGAGCCCTCCACTACAGACCAGGTCACAGACACAGCCTTACAGTCCAGGAGGCCTACAGGCACGGCCTCACCCATCAAAGCCAAGAAGAGCGGGACACCCAACGTACACCGGTTGCGCCGGATCATCGCTGAGGATGCTGAGTGGTCACTGGCCATTGTGCCCCTGCTCACAGAGCTCTGTATTCAGCACATTATCAAGAACTTCCAGAGTGAGTCTGCCCCAATCTTGAGAGGCAGGGAGGCCAGGGGCGGGCAGCGTGGTTGAGGAGTGCCTGGGGGCTCACAGCTCAGAGGCTGGACGGATCCTCTGATGGTCCCTGTCCTCATCTCCACTTGACACTTCCCTTCCATCTAGGCCAAACCACACAGCCCTGCTCCCTCCAGAAAGCCCCACCTGGCTAAACACTCTCCCTCTGTTGACATCTTCCCTGCCATGTGGGGAAGGACAATGCTATGTAAATAATCCTTTCCCAAGGATGAGTTGCCAGCCTCACCCACCAGACAGGGAGCTCTCTCTTAAGGACAGGATCTTCATCAAACTGGGTGATAATTAAGATTGGACCTGAGATTCCTTCTCGGTTCTGGAGGTCCCAGAGAACAGACGCTGAGTGTCCCCCTTCCAAGCAGGGAACACTCCAAAGCAGAGAAGGCTTAGAGAACACAGGGATCTCCCTGCTCGGACTGGGGCTTCTCTAGGGGAGGGGAGGATTGCTCTTTCCTCAGTGGTCCAGCACGGGGTCCCATGTTGTGGTGTCCCCCAACACTGTGACCGCTGCTTTCCTTCCTGTTTCCAAAGACAACCCTATCCTGAAGCAGCTGCTCCCCCAGCACCAGCAGCAGGTCCTGGACCACCTGTCCCCAGACCTGCCTCTGTCGGTAACCGCCAACCTGATCGATGATGAGAACTACTGGCGCCGCTGCTGCATTCAGCGCTGGCCCGTGTGCCACGTGGCCCGGCACGGGGGCAGCTGGAAGCGCATGTTCTTCGAGCGGCACCTCGAGCACCTGATAAAGTACTTCATTCCCGGCACCACAGACCCCTGCGTCATCCTCGACCTGCTGCCGCTCTGCAGGAACTACGTGCGCAGTATCCGCGTGGATCAGTTCCTCCCGCCAGTTCGGTTCCCATCCTCACCCCGGGACAGAGACCAATCCGATTCCGGCAGCGAGGGTGAGCTGGAGGAGCTCACCATCGACCACTACCAGCTGTGTGACCTGGTCGCGGGCCTGCCACACTTGGAGGAGCTAGACTTGGTGTATGGTGTCAAGGACTGTGGCATGAACTTCGAGTGGAACCTCTTCCTCTTCACCTACCACGACTGCCACGCACTGGCGGCCACCATCAAGGCGTGCCACACCCTTAAGGTACCCCCTGCTCCAGCCTTCCCCCACCTTCCTTTCTCAACTTCGCTGTGATGTCTGCTCCCCTCCATGCCTTTGAGTTGTAGTTCTGGAGAAGAGTAGTAATAGAACATGCCTTGGACTGCCAAGAGAGCAATAAGGTTTGACCTGGAGAGGGTGGAACCAAGCTGCTCCTTGGAGGCAAGGATTTTGAAGCTCCATCTTATGTACTTTGGACATGTTGCCAGGAGGGACCAGTTTTCGGAGAGGGACATCAAGTTTGGAATGATGTAGGGACAGGGGAAGAGGGGAAGACCCTGGAGGTGATGGATTGATACAGTAATAGTGAGATTGGCTCAGGATAGGACAGGGTTCAGAGCTACCGTTCATAGGGTCACTATGAATCAGAAGCAACTTGGTAGCATATAACAACAATAACACAACTTCCGCCTCCCTTACCATCTGCTTCCTCTCACCTCCTTCTTCCCTGAGAATGGTTTTCATGCACATTGAAGGCTCTGGTAATATAGCACAAAGCAAGTCCCTGTCCTAGGTGCTGAAGATACAGCAGTGAGCAGATTTATACCATTTGTGCTCTATGGAGCTGATGAAAGACATTAACCAAGTATCTAAATGCAAAATTGCACTTCAGGTAGGGCTGTCAGTTTTGTTATTGTTAGGTGCTGTCACGTTGACTCAACATCCTAGCAACCACATGCACAACACATCTTAAACTCTGCCCTATCCTGCACTGTCTTTGCACCCTCCTCCATGCCCAAACCCATTGCTGTAGTCACTGTGTCAATTCATTGAGGGTCTTCTCACCTTCTCTCACCCTTCGCCTTTCCAAGCATGCTGTCCCCTTCTGAGGATTCACATCTCTGACAACATCCCACAATATGTGAGATAAAGTCTCACCATCTAAGGAGCACCATGACTGAACTTCCTCCACCACAAATCCATTTGTTCTTTTGACAGTCCGCAGGATATTCAACACTTTTTGCCAATACCACAATTCATAACCATCCATTCTTTTTCAGTCTTCTGTATTCATTGTCCAACTTTATGCATAGAAAGCAGCTAAAAATATCATGGTTTGAATTAGGCACACCTTAGTCTTTAAAATGGCATCCATATTCTTTAGCACTTTAAAGAAGTCTTTGGTGGCCAGCTCTGGTGGCCTCATGGCAAGAAGCTGCACTGCAATCTCAGAGGTACGCTGTTCAAATCCACCAGAAGCTCTGCTGAAGAAGGAGGAACAATCGCCTCTTGTACCAGTCAGATCCAATTTGACAGTACACACATAAAAAAAGAAGTCTTTGACCTCAGATTGGGCAAATAAAAATTTGACTAGCTTTTTAGCATGGGAATCAGGTAATGAAAACACTGATTTCATAACAGTCTTATCTACAGCCAGTAATGGGGATGGTACCAGGAATGGGAAGATTGAGTTCCATTGTGCATGTGACAGCTGACTGCACCAGTTTATAATGGCAACATGTCTCCAAGATCACACGGGCCTTACTGTGTACCTGAAACTCAAGTGTAACTCAGTGTCCTGCATTTTCCTCTGACAGCGCAGAAAATGGTAAACTAGATGAACACTGCAAAGAAGAAATGCTCTGTATGAGACACCATAAAAGAGAGATTTGACCTTGCCAAGGAGAGTTTCCCTGGGCAAGTCTCACTTAAGCAGAGATAAGAAGGGAAAGTAGGCGTGACAGTTGGAGGAGAGAGGGAAGAACCATCCCAGGCAGAGGGAAGGGCCCTTACTGAGGTTATAAGGGCAGACTGGGACTCTGGTGGCACAGCGGTTAAAGCACTCACCTGCTAACCAATCAGTCAGTAGCTCACGCCCACTGACCATGCGCTAAGACAAAGGTGTGGCAGCAGTCCCGCTTCTCTGAACATTTACAGCCTTAGAAACTCTATGGGCAGTTCAACTCTGTCCACTGTCCTAACGGATCACTGTGAGTCAGAAGTGAGTCAACAGCAGTGTTTTGGTTTAAGGGCAAAGTGCACACAGCAAAGTCAAGGGCCTGAAGGAGAAGGGTGTGTGACTTGAGCCAGAAGTGACGTGAAAAATGGATATGTGGAATGACGGTGGAGAAACAACAGTTAGCCAGACTCACTGGATGAAGGAGATCGTGTTAAGGACTCTGTCTTTAAGAGCTCTGGGACACTCTCCAAGGGTTTTAGGCTAAAAGGAGGTCACATTATTGCGGCTTTTAAAAAAAAATACGGAAAGATCTCTCAGTTTGTAATAGAGAGCAGCTGGGATGAGGCTACAATGGGCATGGTAGATAGATCGTCCAAGAGGATCACTGCCATATCCAAATGGAGATGTGAGAAGTTTGAATGAGGGTGGTGTCCATGGAGACAGAGAATTGGAGAAATTAAAGAGCCATTTAAGCAATCAGATCAACTGGCCCTGCTGGCCAAAGCAGGGTCTGGAAGAGAAGGCAAACTCAACACCAGGGCCTCTGGCTTGTGAGGCTAGATAGACGCAGGAGGGAATGTAGGAAGAGACCTGGGTTTGAAGAGAAAGCCAGTGTGTTCAGTTTGCCTTTGAGGTAGCTCTGCGGCATCCCAGAGAAGGAGTCATTTTGTTATTTGGGCAGGTAATGCTGAAGTTCAGGTAAGGGATCCGAGTTGAAGGTGGAAAAGTAAGCCATCTTCTTCATGAAGGTGGCAGTAGAAGCTTTAGTTCTGAACAGAGTCTAAAGGGTAAGGGCCAAAGGTGAATCAAGAAGAGACCTAGTGAAGGAGATAGCAGTATGTGTGGATTTGCTTTTAAGGTCAAAAAAATGAGGAAATCCCATCCCATCCAGTGGCCGCTCATTCCCCTGTAAATGGGGTGGTTAGTTTGCCTGCTGAAATGGAGTGTAGGAGGACCATCTGTGGTTCAAAGAGGCTGGAGGGAGCTTAGACAACTGCTGTAGATTATGAAAGCGTAAGTTGGCCAGAGAGACATAATTGGGTTGGCAATGGCATTGAGGGCCTATTGGTTGTTGGAGATAATAAATTTTCAGTGGTGCTAACAAGCCCTGTCATGTGACCTTCTTTTTCTTTTTTTGGCTTGGACACAGACATGCAGAAACTAGAACATAGGGTTGATTCAGGGTTGAGATTTTGCCAAATAGATGTGATGAAAAGACAAGAGGACAAAAGATCCCAAGCTGACTAAAAGGGATGTAAATAAAACAGAGGAAGAGAACACTATTGCTACTCCTTTATTTTTTCATCTATTTCTACCTCTCACCCTCTCTATTTGTTTCCCCCCTTTCTCACCTGACAAGTTCCTTCAATGTGTTCCCCCCACCCCCGGCTCCCGCTTCCTGCGTGGCAGACCATGTGAGGAGGAGAGTGCACTCAGGGGCTGATCATCAAACAGCAGGATTCAGAACCTGCCATTACCCCTTAATCACGAGGGGACCTGGAGCAGATGGTGCCATGTCTGTAAGGCTCCATTTTCTATCTATATAGTGGGGAAACTTTCTCTACCTCACTGGGAAGCTGAAGGTTAGAAACAATGGTCATGGAATGTTCTAGCAACTGCCCAGCACATTGTAATTGCTCAATAAGTAGTAGTCCTTTCCTTCTACTACTACTACTGTTGTTGTTGTGATGTGCCATCAAGTTGAAACTAACTCAGAGCTGACTCTCCAGTGGATTTTCACAGGGAAGGAGACTGCCCATCTTTCTCCACAGAGCAGCTGGTGGATTCGAACCACCTGTCTTTGTGTTGTCAGTGAAACTCCTTACCACACAGCCACTAGAGCTCCCTTTTCTCTCTACTGTTTGCCACCAATTCTGCATACTCAGATATCGTGAGAATGGACAGGGCAGGGTTCACGTCTGCTATTCATAGAGTCACTATGAGTACTCAACTGGACAGCCCCTAACAACAACAGCTATGATGGGGGCGGGTGCTGGGTGCCACAGCATCACTTACGACGCAGAGCGATCCTGGAAACTGCAGGTCAGAACCTTGCCTTGTCCTGAGCCATGTTCGTGATCTCCACCATGCTCAAGTCCATGGCTGCACTCGCCGTGTCAGTGGATCTCATTAGAGGTCTTCCTCTCTGGCTGACCCTCCTAGCATGATGCCTTTTTCCAAAGACAGGGCCCTCCTGATGACAAGCTCAAAATATGTGAGATGAAGGGTAGATCTGTACAGGTCAAGAGCTGACCAAGTGTCCAAGGCCTGATGAGCAGCCTTTCCAGCCTCTGTTAGCTCCCTTCTTTCTTCACCTGCCTTCTGCAGGGGCAGCAGGAAGATTCTCCCCCTCCCAGTGGGACCTTGAGACTCTTTGCCTTCTTGCAGGTCTTCAGGCTGACTCGGAGCAGGGTAGATGACGACAAGGCACGCATCCTGATCCGTAGCCTCCTAGACCACCCTGCCCTTGAAGAGCTGGACCTGTCACACAACCTCATCGGAGACCGTGGCGTGCGTGCTGCTGCCAAGCTCCTGAACCACAGCCACCTGCGTGTACTCAACCTGACCAACAACCAGGTGCGGGCCCCAGGCGCCCAGGCGCTGGCTCACGCCCTGGCACACAACACCAACCTCGTTAGCCTCAACCTACGCCTCAATTGCATCGAGGACGAGGGAGGCCAGGCATTGGCCCATGCCTTGCAGACCAACAAGTGCCTCACCACGCTGCACCTCGGGGGCAACGAGCTGTCTGAGCCCACCGCCACACTGCTGTCCCAAGTGCTCTCTGTCAACACCACGCTCACTAGCATCAATCTATCCTGCAACCACATTGGCCTGGTGAGCCACTGCTTAGGCAGACATGACCACAGAGCTGGCCCAAGGTCTTTGCAGGGGCGTTAGTACCCTCCCCTTGCCAGGATGATTACTGACATTATGCACTTTGCATAGTTTCAATTCCACATCTGCCGTTTTGCTCTTGGGTGAATTACTTAACCTCCCTGGGCCTCCACTTTCTCATCTGTCAAATGGGGATAACAGCTGCAACAGTGGGTGCAAAATTACCAGCAATTGTGACAGTGACACAGAATCGTGCCATGTTTCATTACATGAATCACAGTGAGCTTGACTACAAGTAAAAACAGCAACACATGGAAAGAGTAATAATACCTCCTCCTTTTAAGTGTTGTTATTGGAGGAATTCAATGAGTCATAAAACCAGTACAGGGCATGAGTGAATCTTGAGTCATCATTAGTTGCTGTCCTAATTCAGGATGACATATTATACTAAGTATCAGATATGCATTATATTTCTGTTATTCTTCACAATTATCTGGTAAAAACCTAACTTCCTACCATTGAGTGGATACTGACCCATGGTCACGCTAGAAGAGAGAGCCCCAAAGGAATTCTCAAGGCTTTGAATCTACAGAAGCAGACTGCTCCCCCTCTCCCCATAGAACAACTGGTGAATTCAAACCCCTGGCCTTTTAATTAGCAGCCAAGTGCTTTAACCACTGCATCTCCAAGGCTCCTGTTAATCCAGTAAGATGCATGTTATTAACTCAAAATGGAAAACTGAGCCTCAGAGGAGTTAATGAATTTGCCAAGGGCATCCTGTCACTAGGAAGTAGCAGAGCTATAATTCAAACTTGGAACTGAGTGAAGGCCCAGCTCCCTTCCAACCAACAGGGTCCTTTAAACTTTCTTGCCCAATTCCTGGAGTCCGAGATGCCACTTACATGAAAACAAAACCAAAATGAATTGAAACTTCCTTTTACTGCTGTGAAATAAGTTGATGTTTTAAATGTATATTCTTTATATTCTACTCTATATTGTTGGTTTGGTTTTGTCTTAGTTTTTTAGTGCTGTTGTGACCCTTTAAATTGATTTCACAAACAAAGATAAGGTTGTAAGGATAGCACAGCACACCCTACTTCCTAAGTAGGACCTTTTCCCACACTGGATGTAGCCCGCCAAACCCAGAAGGGGCTGGAGCTGCGGGAACTAGTGATGAGGGTTCTCCCCTGAACCTCCAGTGTGGCCCCAGCCCCCTCAACGCCACCACCCCGTAAGAACAGCCTTGCTTAAAGCACACCCTATCTCCAGAGGAGATGCCCTTGGCTACAAGTCACAGGAAGCTTAACTAGGAAACAGCTGAAACAAGAATATTCATTAGCTTTCATCACCAGAAGTTCCCAGGTACAGAGTCCTGAGGTTGTTAATTTCCATGACTCACGACTTCTCTCTTCTCTGGCACCTCAGCCCCTTGGCGGTGGCCTCTCTAGTATTCCTTTCCTGGTCCCAAGATAGCTCCCAAAGTGCAAGCGTCTCACACAGAGGACGTGCCCAGAAGCAGGAAGAGAAAACTTCACTCTTCTTGGTCTCCCTTGTTCAGAGTGAGGACAACTTCCCCAGAAGCCACCTCCTCCAGACTTCACTCTCACATCGCACCAACCAGATCTGTTTCACATGCCAGTTGCTAAACCAGTCAAGAGGAATGGAATTACCATCACAGATGGTAGATTTTCCAATTTTAGATGGTATGTTTTCCATAGATACACATTTTCCAATTCTTTAAAGGGTTGATGAATCAGTTCAATGAGTCTTGGTCACCATTTTTCCAGTGAAATGGAGAAATGAGAAGGGGCGAGAGAATGTCAACATAGGCTACTACACAAATAGGCCAAGCATTGTGAAACTTTTACATCAGTCCTATCTATATGTGTGTGACTTGTGTATACACACGCATGTACACATGACCTCTTCCCTTTCACCTCCCTCTCTACCAGGATGGTGGGAAGCAGCTCCTTGAGGGGATGTCAGATAATCACACCCTCCTGGAGTTTGACCTTCGCCTGTCGGATGTGGCTCAGGAGAGCGAGTACCTCATCGGCCAGACCCTCCATGCTAACCGTGAAGCAGCCCGCCAGCGGACCTTGAATCCTGACCACTCCTTGTCGCCCCTCAGCAGTGGCCCTGAGAATCCAGGATGAGATGGGGTCAAGGCTGGGGCCCTCTTTGAACTCTCCCCAGCTATACCTGCTGCAGAGCCTCACGTCTTTCTAAAAGAAGAAGAGGAAGAGACATGAGTATCCTTGGTCACTTGGGTGCAGAATATTCACTTGTGATGAGTGATCAAGAGCTGTGAGGGTAAAGATGTGAGGAAAGGGAGAGGCATGGGGAAGGGCAGGAGCTATGAAAGTGTCCAGGGAGGAGAGAACTGGGCTCTCCCAAAAGTCAACTTCTTTTGGAAATAGGGGGGGAAAAAAAAAAGAAAGGAACAACACTGAAAGACCAGGCTCCCTGAGGGGGATCTCCTGTTCTCCCTGAACTATCTCCCCTCTATTTTCCTCTCTGCATAATCTCTTAACCTTTACACACAAACACGTTCCCCTCAGGCTACACTAGAGCCTTCTACTCCAGAAAGATGTGGGAGAGAGGCTAGTCAATTTCACCATACCAGGGAATCTGTGAGTCATCCACAACTTTATTATCCACCAGTTTGATTTGTACAATCTTTGCGCTTGGAAATCCACGACAGAAAGGCCACAATGTGATGCACCCAATTGACAGAGACCTGTCTCCACCTCAGCCAGACCCAGCCCACTCTACAAGCCTTTGTCCCAGGATGCATGGAGCCCTCCAGGTGCCCTCCCGTGAGTCCCCATCACCCTGTGGCTGCCCTGGACCACACAGGAGTCCCATCAATGCCCAGGGACCAAAGAACCTGACTGACTCAGGCTGAGACACATCCCCCATCCTTTGGTGGAGAAGCCAAAGCTCCCAGACTCATGTTCCTAAGGAGCAGGTCAGGTGCTGCCACTATAGCCCAGGGGTGCCTGCCATCCAAGGATTCTTTCAAACAAGCAGGCGCCAGCAGAGCACCAGAGGGGCTTAGGCGTGACTGCATATGTACCTTACCCGGCTACCTGGAGTCTGACTGTCTATGCCTGACTCCCTCTGACAGTTCTGGAGTGCAAAAGTGCGTGTGTGTGTGTGTGTGTGTGTGTGTGTGTGTGTGTTGCCACAGCCACTAGCAGAGGTCCTAATTAGAGAAACAAGAACATTCAGTGTAAAGTTTAATTTTAGAGATTAATTAATTTTCTGGTTTTAGTTTTCCCTGGCAATCAATAAAGCTACCAAGAAAATAGACCAAAGAATTGGTTTCTCTCTAAGTCTGTGCATGTGTGGGAGGTGAGGTTGTCTGTGAGAAGGCCTAGGCAGAAATGGTCAGTACAGGCAAAAATAATAACAGGAGCCCCTCTTCCCCTCCTCCTGGCCCAGGCTTTGTCTTTTTTTTTTTTTTCAGGCTTTGTCTTAGGAACACGCCTCAGGGAAGAGGAGCCGAGTTCCTCTCTCCTTGGAGCTGTGAGGCGGCCAAGCTGCACCCCCTCAAGAGAACATGATAACCAAGTGCCAGCTGGCCTAAAACAGGGGCCCAAGGTCTCAGCTCACCACCTGGACCTCACAGATGTCCATTCAGGGGAAAGAAGGGCACTCCAACTGCCAGGCACCCAAGGAGCACAGACTTAGGTCCAGGCAGCCCAGTACTGGGGGCAGGTGGGCATGGCTGCCAGGGAAACCTCCTCTTCTCTGGCTTTCCCTCCCTTCCCAGCTCAACGTCTCCACATGAAGCTAAATCTCAACCCCGACTGACCATGGGCCTCAGTGTCCTCACAATTTGTGTCTCCCCTCCCTAGGGACAGAAGTGAGGGGAGCCAGAGATGTTGCATAGGTGGAGGCCATGCCCACTGGCAGGGGCTGACCCAGCTGGACCAGAGGAAGGAGGGGGAGAGGGGCTCTGATGGCTCAGAAATGTGAAAAGCGTGGTGGTGAGCAATGCCCGGGTGGCCCAAGGGTTCCCCTCTCGGCTTGAAATGTGAGCTCAATCCCTGGGCACTAAAATCTGCTGGGAAAAACCTTAGCCAGGGAAGTCGAGGGGGTCAGGAAGGTGGCACAGACATGCACACTGAAGCACATTTGGGGGGAGGAAGGCGCAGGGGAGAGAAGGTGGCTTCGGAGCTTCAGGGAAACAGAACCTGGGCTCAGTGCACTGAGGTGGTGGCAGGATGTCTCTTTGAACACCCCAGGACACCCAGCAGGGCTCACCAGGTAGGACACGGGGAGGAAGCTGCAGGGGTCAGGCAAGATTTAGAGAATTCCTGCCTATGACCCGCCACTGGAATTGAGTATTTCTCCAGTTGGGGCCCGTGACAACACCCTCAGTTTTGCAGAGGCCTGTTTAAGAGGCAACCACTGTCCACTCCAACCCTCACAACGGGGAGGAGAGTGTCACCCCTCCATAGATAACTCCCTCTGTGAAGGTCCCTTTACTCCACCTTCTACTGCCCTCCCCACCCCACCCCTCCGTGGCCCTTCTCTTTTACTCCTGTTTCCAATGTTCCCCATTACCCAGATCTGTCTCGTGCCCTGCCTCCTTAGGGTATCCCAGCATCTCACCTCCTCTGAAGGGTATTCCCATGCAGAACAGAGGTATGAGGCTGCTGCCTCGCCAGGCCCTGGGGATTTTTACCTCATCCCTTCCCCTTCTCCGTGGCAACAGCTCTGCAGAGTCAGGAGCTGAGCGCTGGCTGTGTGATGAGCACAGTCCTCCAGGGCCCGAGACTCCTGGGGCCCAGTGAGATAAACAACAGCGGAGGGAGTGGCAGAGAGGAAACCCCAGTCACTTGGGCCAATGCCAAGAAGAGAAGGACATTTCCATGGAGTTGGAATGGATTGTTGGGCTGACACCTGCCCTCAAACCTCAGACCCACTGAATTCCTAGCTGGCTGGTAGCCAGCCCAACTGCTCACCAGACCACTATCCCTCCTCAGCTCAGAGAGACCTCCCTGAGAGGTGAAGCAACAGAGGAAGGAAAGCTCCAATTCCCCTGCCTCAGAGGCTCTACACCTCCGGGCTACACAGCAAAAGCCCCTCATCTGAGATGAAGCCCACTGCCTGTCCCCATAGCACTGCTGCCACAATAACAGTCGGAAGATCCCTGGAAAGGCTGGGCAGGAGATCTCAAATGGGTAGGAAGGGTAGAGGTCCCCTTAGAAGCTCAGGGGTGGAGCTGGAAAAGGTGACTCTGCAAGGGTGGGATTCTGGGGAGCTGCGGCCTCCCTCTCACCCCTCTGTTTCTATGTACAGAGAAGGTGAGAGGCCAAGCTGATGACATCTTGTCTATAGGGTGGGCCTCGCCTTCCCCTCTCCCTGCCCAGAACAGCCTCAGTTCAGCCATCATGACTCTCCCTGCTACATACAGTCAGGAAAGGGGCAGGAAGGAGGCCAAGGTCACAGTGAGGTCTCTACACAGGAGCCGTGGCGGTGGAGCGGCCGGTGACTGTGGCCCAGACACCCCTCCTGCCGGTGGACAATAAGCACGGGGAAGTAGAGGGCATCGTGGTAGGGCGGTGGTGGCCCAGCCTCCTCGTCGTCGTCGTCGTCCTCGTCATCGCCCATGCTGGCCTGGCTCGACAGCCGCGTCTGCTCCGTGGGGCAGCTCGCCTCGTTGACGCTCCCGCTCCGGCTGCGCCACAGGCAACTGCGCCGGGAGCCGTAGAGGCGGCCGAGGGAGAAGCGGCTGCCCGAGCAGCCCGCGCCCCCGCCAGGCCCCGGGCCAGCCCGCGGGCTGGCACAGATGCTCAGGGCGCTCCGCGAGAAGATGGACGAGCTGCTCACCGCGCGCTGGCAGTGTTCGCAACTGCGCCGGTATGGGGCTACGCCCGCTGCGCCCGGGCCGCCCACTCCGCCATAGCGGCAGGTGGGCGCGTAGCCCCCCGCCGCGCCCCCCGCGCAGCGCGCCCCCAGCGCCGCCAGGTCCATGAGCACCGCCTCCGAGTAGCTAGGCACCAGCTGCTGGTTGGAGCGAATGTGCCATTCGAGCTCCGTACTGTCCACCGTGTTGACCCGCGGCAGGCGGTGGGTGAGCGGGGGTAGCAGCTCGTCGCTGGGGCTTAGGCCGCCCCCCGCGCTGCTCGCTGAGCCCGGGCCCTCCAGGCCGAAGAGCTTCTCCACGTGGTAGTGCGCGTAGGCCGTGCGGTACTCGGAGAGCACGCGCAGGGGCCACGACAGCGTGAGCAGAGCGGCCGCCCAGAAGGCCGACGAGCAGGCGTACCACGGCGGTCTAGCCGGGTCTGGGAAGGCCACCATGAACTCGCGGAAGTCCACATTCTTCAGGTGCATGCCCTCGCGGGCCTCCATGTAGTCGTCCAGGCCCTCGTTCTCAGCAAAGAAGCGGGCGCGCTGGCACAGGTACGCGTTCTCAGCCTCCACGCTGGCGAAGCTGAAGCACTTGGTGAAGCGGAGCCGCGTGGCTGGCGCGCCCTCTAGCCCCACCAGTGCCTTGGACACGTCTCGGACCCCACAGCGCGCATAGTCGAACTCGGCTTCCGCCACATGTGTGTTGACGCGCTCATGGTATACCTGGGGTGAGGGGAAAGATGGCAGTAGTTGGGGGCCGCACGGCCGCACCAGGCAACCCGTTCTCTCTGCTTATCCTCGCCCATTCCCAACGCAGCCCCAGTATCCTGGCCAAACCCTAAACGCGTCCCTGTAAACAAAGAACCTCTCTAAACAGCTAAAATCTGATTTCAGAAGAAACTGAGGCCTCAGTTAAATCAGTGAATCCGAGATGAGGACAGACTAGAAAGACTTTGAGTGTTCTACATTAACTTCGTTAAGCTCTGCTTCCTCTGAGGAGCAGACCCTGCCTTGCCACTGTCCCCTCATCAACACAAACAGCATCCTCTCCTTCCCTTTTACAAGATTATTTCCAAATAGGCTCTCTAGAGAACATCTGAGGAACACTTTATCTCTGGTTTCTCTGTTCCTTAACTAGCACTCGGGCGCCTTCCTGCTTCTCACTGGACCCAGGCTTCTATCTACCTATTCCAATAATGAGACAGAGGTCACTCTCATCAAGCGACAGCTCTTCCTGCAAGATGCAAACCTATCTAATGTTGGCCAATCCCAGAAGTGTTGACTGACTTGCTGACACACCCCTATACGGCCTCCCTTACCCACCTCCACCCTTTTGCCACTGATGACCATCTCTTTTGTGCGCCTTGAGCTTAGATTTGGGATTTCTGTTTGAGACTGACACTGACTACCACTGAAGAAGTGCTAGTCTTGGACAAGTCACTGAGCTTTATGTCTTTTCACCCTTGAAAGAAGACTCGTTGAACAGCTGAGAGGATGCCATGGGGCTGTGCAAGTGAAGGCATCTCACAACTATTAAATAGTCATAAACAGTATAGACTCTAAAGCTAGACTATCCAAAGTTCAAAATCTCAGCTCCGGTACACAGGAGCTGTTTGACTTTCGGCAGGTTAGTTAACTTCTCTAGGCCTCAGTTTCCTCATCTGAAAAGCGAAAATCATTATGAAGATTAAAGAAATGCTTGACTATTTGGAAAGTCCTCATGTATGCTGTTCTTACTACACTATTGCCTCCCTGGTGCAGAGCCCACTAGTACCCGGGAGGCTCTTCCCTATCCGCCTTCACTGACACTTCCTTCCCCCAGCCCCTCACCTGGGTGGTGGTGTAGGCGTCGCCATTTCTGTATCGGGTGACCTGGCGGGTACGACGGACATAGTGGTAGCTGATGGCCTTCCACCAGATGCAGGGTGTGGCCTGCTGCATGCGGCCCACACGCTCCCGCACGCTGCTCACGTCAACACGATGCTGCAGCTCATGGCGGGCTTGGCAATGCCAACACTCCACCAGGTAGACGGCATACAACATGAGCAGGAAGGCCAAGGGGATGTAGACATAGCCATTGGAGCAGGGACTGTCGTGGTACATGAGGCTGTTGCCCTGGTAGGCGCTGCTGAAGGTGAGGCGGGTCACCGTGGTGACATGACACCAGGCCACGGCCCCCAGGCAGCCATACATGAGTAGTGAGAGCAGCAGGCACTTCCAGTGGGACTCACGGCAGAGGGACTTGGTGAAAGAGGGCTGGATGGGACGCTGCTGCTCAGAAGGGCAAAGATAAGGGAACAAGATGAGTGGAGGAGTGAGAGAATGAACAAGTTGAGCACAGAGGTGGATGCAGCAATGGAAGGGCAGAGGCCAGCACCAAAGATGACAGACGAAGAGACAGGATAGGGAGAGGAAAGATAAAATCGAAGTGGAAGCCCAGGACCAATGGTAAACACAGAAGTGAGCCATGGGGAGAGGAAAGGAGAAGGAGATGTCCGTACAGAGAAGTGCAGAGGAGACGCCCCAGGAGGCAGATATAGCAATCAAAACCAGATAGGGCCGGAAGAGACCCAGGCAGCAAAGACAGGTAAATTGGATGGCACAGAAACGGAGTCCAAAGGTGGACACAAAGATGTCAATTAAACGGAAGAAGGCATGGATGGGGAAGACAGGGAAGAACAGACAGGTGTCAGCAGAGGCACTTCTCCAGCCCAGACCCCTTCCAGATACTACTCTAGGAAAGGGCAGGAGCTCGCCTCACCTCCCACTGAACAGGGGGGACCCTCACTTCCTCCAGATTCTTTCAGCCCTGCGTTATTCTGCAGCCAGGGACATCTACCTCCCGGCCTCTCACAGTTAGCCTAATACCTTTGAAGGGAGCCACCCAGGAACTAGGTCCTGATTCACTGCCTGCATTCTAAAGTTCAATGCCTCTGTGAAGACCCTCCTACGGGCTAACAACCCCTCTGTTCTAGGTTGGCAAGGAAGGTTGAGGTCATTGAGCAGAAGGGAGACAAGAGGAAATAGCTATAGAGATCGAGGATCATACATGTCTAGGAAGAGGATGGGGCAAGGGATGTGGCACGGGGGTAGGGAGGAAATTGTTTACAGCCCAGCCATTTGTCAAAAGAAAATGATTTTGGGTGCTCTCCCAGGGCCTGTTAAAGCACTTGGCACGTTCTGTCCCACAGTCTGTCCAGGGAGTTGTTTACATGTCTGCCTCCCCCACTAGACATGATGCTCCTAACTGCAGGGCCCTTGCCTTACTCGCTTAGCACCCTAGGTGCCCACAATGGGGCTGGCACCCAGTAGCCACTTAATAACTTAGTTTGGTTTTGTTTTTGTTTTTTTAATAACTGGTTTTGAGTTGGGTTTGTAGTAGTGGCCTGTGCTTTCTACACTTCCTCCATGGTGTTCCCATAAAACATACTCTCCTGCTTGGATCTTGCCTTATCCCTTCAATTCCTCAAGCCTGATCTGGAGGCCAACCAGAGAAGGGAGAAGGGGTAGAAAGGAAGAACACAGTAAAAGCAGTGGGCCCTGGGCCTGGTGGGAATCAAAGGAATGGTCTGCAAATGCAGACAGATTGGTGGGCAACAAAACAGCACACAGTATAGACCAACAGATTAGAGTATGTGCGGCTTTTGAGCTGCCTTGTCCCTGGTGGAGGGTGTGCACCTTTAGCAACCTGGGTATGTGTCTGTCCCCTTGTGAGTGCATCTGCAGGGCTTCTGCTTCCAAGACTCCCCTGTGTGTGTGCTCATGTGTACACAGGTATACATGGGAGATTGGGCCTCGGAGGTAGATGATCTATCAGCCTCTTTGTCTCCAAGTTCACAGGACTGGAAAGTAAGGACCTCATCTAGAAATATACTTGTATTGAGAACCAGAAGGATTCCTGAACTTAGGGCCTCCCAGGGGGTGCAGTGGGGGCTCTGAGGAAGAGGGGTACACCCTATCCCACCCTCCTGCCTCCCCAAAACTCACCCCACACTATCAGCCACTGGGATTGTGAAGGGTCACTTCTGCACACATTTGACCTTCTTAGGATCCCAGTCAGGTAACCTCCTCACTTCCCCATGGCACCCTCCTGGCCTTGCTGCCCCTACAAGATGCCCTTCCTGGTCCTCAAGGTAACACTCCCCTCCGTGACACAGGATCCTAGCCACCAAGCCCACTCAGGATAAACTAGCCCCCTCCCCCACCCAGCCCGGG